AATTATACTGTGTGTAGTCATTGATTTGTGTCCATGGAAGGTGATGAGTTCAAGATCTTACTATGTTACCATCTTGAACTGCTTCCTACCTTAAGGAAGTAATTTGGCAATAGAGATCAGGACCCCAGGTTTTGTTATGGGTGACAAGAGTACTATTTCCTAAGATGGGAAAACTAATGAGTTTACTAGGCTAGACTGCAATGGGTCAAGAACTCAATTGAAGCTGAGAGAGAAGAGAGAACAAAAGTAAACTATTCTAAGACATTTCAGTGTGAATGGAAAGGAAACTAGCAGGGCATTGTGTAGAGGGACATGGAAGGTAAAAAGAGTTTTTTTGTTTTATTTTTTAGTTTTATTTAAGAAGGAAAAGATAAGCTTTAATAGGTCAAGAGATGGAGCCAGTGGAGAAGGAAACATGGAAGAGAAAGAAGGTGACCAGTGGCATTGGGCTAGAAGGGGTTTAGAGAAGAGTTAATGGCTCAGGTCTTGCCTGGAAGGGGAGATACTTTATCCTTTGAGGGAAAAGAGAAGGAGGAAAAGACAGTTGGGGATGTAGAGAGTCTGTAGTTTAGAGGTGGTAGGCAACAAGTTGAGAGGTTCTCTGCTTTATGATCTCCAGTCCCCATTTTTTTAGTGAAATAGGAGGCAAATTCTTTGCTGAGATCCCAGCCTGACAGAAACAACGATTCACAACTTCCTTCTTCCCTCCCTTTTCCCTTCCTTCTATCTATGCATCCATCCATACACATATACATATGTACATCAATTTATTCATTTATTCACTCTTCTAATAAATGTAGAACAAGCACTTACTGTGAACTAGGTTCTGTGGTAGGCACCATGCATAGAATGAAAGAGACATAGCTCCTTATCTTAAGGAGCTTCCATTCTTGTGGATACAGACAATTAACCACTATTGGTGATTAAGTATTAGGATAAGGAAAATATGGAATACAAAGGGAGCATATCACTTGAATTCAGGGGTCAGGAGTGGCTTCCATAAATAGTGTGAGTGGGAATTAGTATAAGTAGAAATTAGCCAGGTAAAGGTGAGGACTGAGAGTAATCAATGTTCCATCTAGAAGAGAAGAAAAGTATCAAGTGCTCAGAGACCACAAAAGCAAGGTCCACTTAAGGAAGCAGAAGTAGTGCATTTGATTAGAACACCAAATGGGGGAAGGTAGTGTAAGGCCTATTTAGCCAGAGCAGCCCCACCTCGGTTGAACAGCCATTTTGTTGTTTATGCAGTAAAACTTAAATTGACCCTGCCCTCCCCCGTCCTGGGGAACTTACTTAAAAGCAAGTCCGGGAAATCAGTCCCAGGTAACAAAGCCCAAATACAAGGGTGGGTCAGGTCAGGTGGAGATAACGGCCCAAATGCAGGGATGAGTCGAGTCAGGTGGAGACATCCAATCAGTAAAGTACGCATACTGTCTCCCTAGCTACCAAGGAGTGTGGGCCCCACCTTTTGGGTGCCTTGTGGGTGCCAATTCTGACTAAGGTGATAGGCTAGTTCAAATAGCTACTATGGGGTGAATTGTAGTTCAACTGGCCACCCGTGTGTGACCTAGCATGACTGTGCAGCTTTCTCTGTGTATTGCTATGTCATTGGCCACCTGTGTGTGGCCAGGCTCAACCGCATGGCCTTTGCTCTATAAAAGTTGGTCTGTGAGGCAGGGAGGGGTCGCCCTCTCTGTAAGGGGCGGCCCCGACCAGTCTGTTTGACCGTCAGTTTGATTCTTGATGCTTGGCGCGAAATAAAGCTTTGCTTGACCTTCGCTTTGTATCAGTCTTGCTCCTTTGACCATAGACCCATTATTGGGGGACCCAACAGTAGGAAGTGACCACATTATCTAGTGCAGGCTTATGCCCAGTGTCTGCTGTAATTCTTGTTCATTATGATGACCACTGATGAGTTTTTAAAAGAAGAGTAAAATAAACAGATCACCATTTTAGAAAATTTATACCAACGGCAGTATGGTAAATAGTAGACAGAGAGAAGAACTGAGTTTTTAAAAAAAGAGCTTTTAAGCAGGATAGGAAACTATTATAGTAATTGGATGAGAGAAAATAATGTCTTGATTTAGGACAGATGGTTTGATCTGCCAGCAGAAGTGGGTGGAATTAGATATATTTGAGAGACTTTTTGAAGGTATAATTAACAGGACTTACTCACTGGAAATGACAGGCAAGGAAACAGAAGGAGGTAAGGATGGCTTCCAGAATTCTGGCTTCAATAATTGGACACAGAGATGTCATTTGTTGAGAAAGCAAACAGCAGAGGAATAGCAGATTATAAAAATGTTTTAAGTCAGTAAACTTTTGATACTCTTTCCATCAAGAGGTGGTATCTCCATCCTCTCTCCTTGGTGATGGCCTCAATGAGTGGGAGACAGCAGAAGTATGACTCACAAAGTGAGGTTAGAAAAGACCATGTGGTGTCTGCCTACTTCTGTCAGGATACTCACCCTAGGAGGTTTGGCTACCATATAAGAAGATCAGACAAACGGTTATTGTAGTATTACTCAGCCTAGGCACCAACCATGTGACTGAAGAAACCTCAGAGATGACCTCACGCCCCACCATGATCTGACCACACACACAGGAGATACTGAGCATAGTCTGCCCCCTCATTCGTGCACAAAATAAGTGATTATTAATTTAAGCTGCAGAGATGTGATGGCTTATTTCACAGCAATAGATAGCCAGAACAAAGATGATGAATCAGATTTGGGGCATATGTTTGGAGAATCTGGAGATGTTTTAAAAGCAATTAAAAATTCAGATCTGAGGGTAATGAGAGAACTTTGGGCTCTGAAGTTTACTTATGTCCTTCCCAGGCTCTTATTTGTCTCAGATTATGTGTGTCACATTTTCAAAGCACATTCTTTATTTGATTTGATCCTGATATAACCTCTTGAAGAAACAGGAATCATAAAGGGCTCCTGGGTGGCTCAGTCATTAAGTGTCTGCCTTCGACTCAGGTCATGATCTCAGGGTCCTGAGATCAAGCCCCAAGTCAGCCTTTTGGGGGAAGCCTGCTTCTCTCTCTCCCACTCTCCCTGTTTGCATTCTCTCTCTCACTATATCTGTCAAATAAATAAATAAAATCTTAAAAAAAAAAGAAAGAAATGGGAAGTATATTGTTATACCCATTATAGAGTTGAGAAAGCAGAGGCCCAGGAAGCATTTATGATTTATAGAAAATCCCATAGCCTGGAACCCAGACAAAACAAAGGTCTTCTGATGCAGTACATGCTTCTTCCACTGCACTCTGCTAAGTGCTATGAGCAGAAGGAGAAGATGCCCAGTAGTGGAGGGAACCTAAAATCAGAGTGCTGAGAGACTAAAGCCTGAGGAGGGATGAAAGAGGAGATTTAAAAATACTTCTCAGATTTTTCCACAAAAGCATCCTTTACCAGGGAGGAGAGTACCACTATGACCCCAGGAAGATCTAAACATAGAGACCGAAAGAAAGTTCTTTGAAGTCATTCATTCATATATTCAAAAATTATTTATTGAGCCCAGCCTAAGTTCCAGGCACTCTGCTAAGTTTAGCACTGTACATGGTCTCTGTCCTCATGTCCTCTCAAGGAGACACTCGAACAAGCAATTCACCATCATAATCTGGAGGCTAACAGGAGGAAGTCTCATAAAAATGGAAGCCTACAGAAGGGGCAGAAGGAGAGGATGGTGCAGTGAATCCTGGGCAGAAGGAAAAACCTAACCATAACAGAGAAAGCACCTCCTTCAAGGCAAACAGCAATTAATAGGGGAGAAGTCATAAACTGGGGATAAGATGACCATCTGTGGGCATAATCTATGCATGAAGAGATTTAGACACATTGCCCTTGTGTCTAGAGAAAGTCCTGAAATACTCCAGTTCTCTTAGCAGCACTATTTTTCCCAACAGTTGGATTAATATTTCATATCAGCCCCCACTCGCAAGGCCATATCCGTGTTCTGAGTTGAGTCAGTGCCATGGAGCCCACACAGCTAGGAATGTCCTGAAGACATCGTGTGTCTAGATGTACACAGTCATCAACCAGACCCAAAGTACTGTCACCCGGAGAGTTCCTACAGCAGTGGTCAACAGGACATGAATGAGCATGACTGTCTCCTCTTCCCAAAAGTTACACCGTAATTTTATGATGCTGTGTTGGTTCCCCGTGCTTGTTCATTTTTACTCTTTTTTTTTTTTTTCTCCCCATAGTGGTGAGCACTAAAGCCTTTGACATGAAAAAGACCTGAGTATCTCTTAAAGGGAGTAGTGAGAAAGACAATAGCTTAACTCTCACTTCTCAGCTGACCTGAAAAAAAAAGGTACTGGAAGGTGAACAGCTGTAACAAAACGGAGAGCTAACTCAGTCCCCGGGTACATGAGGGGGACCAGGACAGCCCATGGCAGAGGAATGACCCTCAACTCCTAACAACTAGATGCTGAGAGCTCCTTTGATACTGAGGTGCCTCAGCCTTCTGCTCAGACCCTCATTCAGAGACTCTAGAGAAAGCAATCCTCTCCAAGTTTTCTTTCCTACAATTTAGGTGTCTCTTTGGGATCACAACAACATCATTTACCTTTGTTCAGGACATAATCCCTTGCATCAACAGAGGTCTGAAGAATGCATCAGGGAGCACAGTGTACCGAGCAGAGCAGAAAATGTGGCAGCCATCAATAGGCAGCTTCCTCTTATTCAAAATGCAAAACAAAATGAAACATCTTCCCGGACCACAAAGCATGGAACAAAAGCTGAGGGGCCTCCTTCCCCGTCTCCCTGAGGTCCTGTTTTTTGTCATGATCCCTTGGGGAAAGAGAGAGGCTGATTTTCCAAGGCTCAGAAAGTTTCCCCAACTCGCCACAGCCCTCCTACCAGCACAGAAGTATCTGCTGTCTGGAGACCACACTCCCCTTTGAGGACTAAGCCCCACCCCATAGCCCCTTTCCCACCTCACCCGAGCCTTCAATGCACAATCACATGCACACAACTTGTGTGAAGTACCTTGAGTGCTGGTTGGCAAGACCAAATGAAAGAGCAGTAGAAGTTCCAGAGCCAGACACGGCTTCAAGCTTTGGGAGCACATGTTACTTCCCAGGAACGCTGGAGACAGGTGGGAATCAGGCTAAGAAGAGACCAAGGGCTCCAGAGCCATTGAAGTCACAGTTCAAGGTGAGAGGAAAACTTACTGATCTTTTTGATGCTCAGCAACTCATGGGTGGAGCCTGGTGACAGAAAACAGGAAGGCCCCATATCTCAGAGCAGTACGGAAGCAATGAAATTAACTATTTTGTTTGAATGTGCAGTCGGTTCTGTTTTCTGGAGAGAGGATCCGTAGCTTCTGTTGGATTCTCGGAAGGGTCAGTGCTCAGAAAAGATTGAAGTCCAAAAAAGAAAAGAGGAGAAAAGATTAAAGTCCCCCCGGTAGAGAATATCTAATTTTGGTTTCCCAGGCAGGAGTCACCCTGATTAATGCAGAAATTAAAATTGGAAGGTACCCACCAAGTCTGCAGGGGATTTCTGGCCTGAGCCAACCCCAAATCATGAGAGGAATAGGTCATATACAAGTGTCATTCAGAGCAGAAAATCTAGGAAATCAAATCTCCCATGCCCTAAGCCCCACCCTCGGGCTCCTCCTCCTTCATCATAAAGTCACTGCTTGGACACTTAACACTGGCCGAGCTACTGAACATTAATAGAAAAAGCAAGATTACTTGGCCCAGAAGAATGGATTTCCCAGCCTTATGGTCTAAGAAATTTCAGGCCCATCCCTCTTGAATCTAAATGAATTATTTGCCCACCTAGGCCAGTTTGGGGACCCATAAGGCAAGACACAGTCCCTAATACAGCATATTCATAGCTGTTTTTGAATTGGAGACATTTCTTTTTTTTTTTTTAAACATTTTATTTATTTATTTGAGAGAAGAGAGAGAAAGTGAGAGAGAGCATGAGCGAGGAGAAGGTCAGAGGGAGAAGCAGACTCCCCGTGGAGCTGGGAGCCCGATGCGGGACTCGATCCCGGGACTCCAGGATCATGACCTGAGCCGAAGGCAGTCGCTTAACCAACTGAGCTACCCAGGCGCCCCAAATTGGAGACATTTCTGATTTGACATAGAGGAGCCCAGTAAAAACACTGCTCTCCTCAACCTCTGAACTCCTGTCATAGTAGATACCCTTCCCAAAAGGACCAGCATGGGGAAACTGAGGCAGCTCAGTGCCTTAAATTGCACTTGACACCCCATTCATTCGAACACATTGGAGCCCTGGGAGGTGAGAACGGCAGGCATCATTGCCTTCACTTTTTAACTGAATCTCAGAGTCAGACCAAGGTTCTGCTCCAATCCACCCCAGTCTTCAGCTCTCCCCGCAGCGTGGGCTACTGTAAATCTTTGGACTAGAAGAGACGAGAAGACAGGACTAGAATGAGCTAAGCTGAAATGCAGTTAGCTTGGGAAGATTTTATTTTTTATTTATTTTTTAAAAAGATTTTATTTATTTATTTGACAGACAGAGATCACAAGGAGACAGAGAGGCAGGCAGAGAGAGGGGGAAGCAGGCTCCCCGCAGAGCAGAGAGCCCGATGTGGGGCTCCATCCCAGGACCCTGGGATCATGAGCTGAGCCAAAGGCAGAGGCTTTAACCCAATGAGCCACCCAGGCGCCAGCTTGGGAAGGTTTTAAAGAAAGCAAAAACCAGAAGCTGAGGAGGAGGAAGAAGCAGAGTCACAAGGGCAGAGAAAGAGAAAAGGAAGTAAAGTAAACTGTGGGTGGGCTTTACTCAGATCTTGACTCCCCCGGGGAGTTTTCAAAATGGTTTCAGGAGGGTTGCCGCCCGGTGAAACCTTAGAGGCTAGCCCGCCCGGGGAAGGCTTCGAGGCAAGCCGCAGGGAGTGTAACAAAGCCTATTTCCCGCCAAAGCAGGGAGGGACGATACTCTTGCTGGCTGGCCTCTCTCTCTGGCTCCCGTAGGGGGCAGCGCAACACTACAGGTGTCATACACACCCCAGGGAGCCTGAAAGAGCCCGACAGCGGGTTGATACCCTGGAGGCAGGCCTAACATTTAAGAGGTGAGCAGAAGAAAAGGACGCTAAGGATGAAAATGAGAAGCATCATCCATCAGACAGTCTAGGAGGAAGTGAGGTTTCAAAAAACTGGATCCAGAGTAGCAGAAAGTGGACCCATTACATTTTTTTCCTTTTTAAATTTTTATTTGCATTTCTTCTATGCAGAATTTACTCCCGGGCCATGAACTTTTGTTTCTTCAGTTTCTTGTGGGATATCTTTTTCTTTGGTGCAACCCGCTCTTCTGGTGTAGGAGCAATCTGCTCTTTTCCAGTAAGGATCACCTCGATGTGGCAGGGAGAGCTCAGGTAAGGGTGAGTTCCACCACGAGCCCTCTAAGTTCTGGGCCACATCTTGGGGACTTTGTTCGTTTGGATGTGCTCAATGACCAGAGAATCTACATCTCAACCCTTAAATTCAGCACTATGCATTTTTTTAAAGATTTTATTTAGAGGCAGGCAGAGAGAGGCAGGGAAGCAGGCTTCCCACTGAGCAGAGAGCCCAATGCCGGGCTTGATCCCAGGATCCCAAGACCATGACCCAAGCCGAAGGCAGAGCCTTAACCCACTGAGCCACCCAGGTGCCCCAGCACTATGCATTTTTAAGCGTGTGCAGTAAAAATTCAGCACTCTTCTTGGGCCACCAACCCTGTGTCCAGCCCCACTGTCTGGCCTGGGCGCACTTCCAACTCCACCACTGTAGTGACAGAATGACACACATTGCTTCTGCAAAGTGACATCCTTCAGATACGTGGTGGCTTTTCAGATCTGCATACCCCTGATGGCCCGGGCAGTTTCTTGGGTGTTCTTTTAGTGAATCAAGATGTGAACCTCTTGATTTTCATGATTTTGTAGGGTTTTCTGGGTCAAGTGACTAACAAACATTTTCAGAGTTCACCTCAGGCTGCTCGGGGGAAAAGCCGTCCATTGCATTTAGTAACTGTGTGGTCACTCATGACCTTAATCTTCGTAAGAGCCATTTTGTGGAAGCAGAGACCAGAGCCTCCCCTCCCCTTCTCCTTTCTCCTCCTTCCCTGTATCAACGAGTTATGTCTTGACCTGAACATCATTTCTGAAGACGTAGAAATGAAAGCTACACTCTTGCCTGCTCTTATGTGGCTCACAGTCTTGTGTTAAAATGTGGTTGTGAAATGCGGAATTATGGGGCCGCGTGGAAGGACCACCCAACACAAATGGTGTGGTCGTGGGAGGCTGCTGGGAAACAGTGAATAGGTGTGACTCCTTTGAAGAGTAAGGGAAGTGTGTTACGTTAAGGAAGATGAACATGGTAATATCTGAGAAGCCAGAGAATGGGCTAGTTGAGGAAACTGATGATATTTTGTGTGGCTAAAATCAAAAGAAAGGAAAAGAAACCAGTTCCAGCCCTATGGCTTTGGTGTGTGCCGTTACGAGTTTGGATTTCCACTGACCCCTTTTAAGGGGAGGTAAATAAAGGACTTTTTTTTTTTTTTAGATTTTATTTATTTATTTGAGAGAAAGAGAACATGCAGGATTGGGGGGAGAGGCAGAGGGAAAGAGAAAAGCAGCCTCCCCATGAGCAGGGAGCCACATGCAGACCGATCCCAGGACTCTGGCATCAGGACCCAAGCCAAAGGGAGAAACTTACTCAACTGAGCCACTCAGGCACCCCAAGTAAAGGATTTTGAGCAGATCAGTGATAGGCTTCATTCCACAGGCTAGAAAGAAAGTTGATGAAGAGAAGGATGAGACTAGAAGCAAGCAGATGCTACAAGAATCCAGCTACACAATAACGAAGGATCAGCAAGGGTAGAGAGGTGACAGGATAAGTCAGGATCAGCAGGCCTCCATACTTGGCTTTGTGTGGGGGAGGTGGAAATGAGAAAAAGAGGAGCCTCCTTGCTGACTTGGGTGGCCAGATCAGTGGGTGGGGACATGAGGGATAATCTCAGTTTGGGATATGTTAAGTTTAAGATGTCTGAGGGCTCCTGGGTGCCTCAGTCGCTAAGAGTCTGCCTTCAGCTCAGGTCATGGTCTCAGGGTCTGGGGTTTGAGCCCCACATCGGGCTCCCTGCTCAGCAGGAAGCCTGCTCTCCCTCTCCAGCTCCCCCTGCTTGTGTTACCTCTTTCTCTGTGTCTCTCTCTGTCAGATAAATAAATAAATAAAATCTTAAAAAAAAAAAAAAGAGGTATAGAAACTGGAATGTACAATAGACATGTGAGACATAATAATAATTCTTTCACCTCTGCCCACTTAGAAGTGACTCTCAGAAACTGGGGCAGGTACAGGAAAGCACAGACACAGAGGCAAAGCTCACTGATCTAACAGGGCACGACAATCAGCAAAGTCCAAGCTTGTGAGCAGTCAGCAGGGGAACCAGGGCCCACAGAGGAAAGGCATGTCCTCCCAGCTTCCCACACTGGGCTTGAGAACTTGGGTGTATAGCTTTGCAACAGCAGTGTAGACTCCATGGCTATACTACAGAGAAGCCACCAGCCAATGAGAAAGGAATATCCTCATTGGACTACAGCTGGTTTCTATGAAGTCTCAAAGTATTAATGTGCATTTCCAGGGAAGTTTTAACACTAATTTAAATATTTCAGAGTGAGTTGGAAAAGCATTCAACTGAAGATGTGCAAAAATTTGGTCAAATTATGATGAAAGTATGTTAGTGAGAAAGATACCAAAAAGTTCCTGTATATTTTTTAGCTTAAAATTTATAGTTCTCTATTTCACATTTTAATGTCATGTTTAGTTATTTTACAAAGAAAAAATGTAAATGATAATTGAATGCAAAATCACATCAATTTTCACTTAATAAGAAAAGTGACTGCTAATCTTACTATATGGCCATTTTGCCTAATATATTCTAATTATAGGTGTTTTAAAAAGGAAATAACTATCGAAAGAGATATTTTTAAATTAGATGAGTTGTAACTGTTATGGTTCAGACCAACAAACGTTTCTCACTTTGAGATGACATAGATTTCCCCCTGGAAATACAAGAGCATTATTTTCCTTGCAAATTTTCTTTCACCCCCTAGAGTTTTTGAATCTCCCCCCCACCCCATATTCTGCTCTGCCACCATATCAGTCTCACAGGAAATGGGATCCTGAGTCCCTGAGAAATCCCATCCCTTTTC